TGGGATTTGTTCGTCAGCTGAGCATGGAACAAGCCATTAAACTATGCATAACTCTGGCTTTCAACAATTTCTTCGATGTGCTGATGTACAACCAAGAAAGGAGCTGATCACATGAACATGAACAACGACATCAACAACGTTGATAATAATAACAACAACAAAAACAACATCAACAACATGAAAATTACTGATCGATCATTTGTAATTTAATTAGTATATGTTGCCGCACCTGAATGAAAAAAGATGAGAACCAAAGAAAGCATCCATCTTCATTATTGCATGATTGCACAACACACAAGCGCTGTGCTTTGCTGGTTTGGTCAAACTCGACCATGAAAATACTTTTTACCAGAATTCAAACATTCTAACAAGGCGCTATTAACAAACAAAATCTATGAAACTTTTCAAATATTATTTTAATCTACAAGCTACAGTGTCTTCGCCCGCTTGTTTGTGATCATTTAACAGTGGCTTTAGTATGAGTTTATAGCTATTTAACATTGCAATCAATTGCACCACTCGGTCCTGCACCAGTTCATCCATCCGCCGCTAAGTCTTCATAGTTATTTTTTTTTAAATATTTCCCTTTTGGGGTTCCTGTTTAATCATGATCAATAAGACTACGTAAACAATCATTCTTTACTGAGTGATTTTAACCGTAAGTAAATTAAAAAGGGAATTAAAACTACATAAATAATAAGTTAATGAATGAATTATGCTAGATATGATGGTATCGAACTATCCACACCCAGCACCATCAAACCCTGTCCTGCCACAACAGCCCTTCAGCTATAAAAACCCATTAGACACATACCAATAAATATAAACGATGTTGTTTTTAACCTGGTCATCAGACGCATTTTCCATTTTCCTCCTCTCACCATCATAACCACCAGCACCACCAACATCAACATCATTATCATCATCATCTTCTTTGTTATCATTATCATCATCGTCATCATCATCATCTCATCATCATCCTCCTCCTCATCTCATCATCCTCCTCCTCCTCCTCATCATCATCGTCGTCATCACCATTACCATCTTCATCATTCACCATCACCATTATCGTCGTCGTCATCAGTTCAATGTAATGACGATAGTTGCTTCATTGTCGTATAATCATATAATGATAATCGTGATCGGCAGAGTATAAACGCGTTATAAAATGTCTAGAAGCGTTGAGACTGGAAAGAAGAAGATCACGTATTACAACATTTTGTGGCTTCAGAGGCTGGCGAAACGTAACATTTAGAAACATTATTCAATTTATCGTCATAAAAAAATTAGCTTTTGATGGTGAATGTGCTGATGATGCAAGAGAATGATGGTGGTGATGATAATGAGGATGTGATATCATGTGTCGATGGTGATGTGTAATAATATAACAAATGGAGAAGGAAAGCAATTAAGCAAATACTATGGTTCATGAATGTGTCGTCAGGTTGCGATTGCTAATAAACACTTGAGTTCGTTCCATGCGGATTTCTGCTGCTGCTGCTCATGATGATGACAAGTGATGGAATGTCAGATGATGAATGTATCATGATATCACGATGTGATGGTGATGATGCTGTGGTGATGATAACGACGACGATGATGACGATGATGAAGATAAGAAGAAGTGATGGTGGTTTAATGAGGATGATAATTATGATGATGATGATGATAACAATGACGACGTTGATGATGATGCGAATATATAAAGTTGTTGTGATGATGGTTTAAATAAATAAATAAAATATAAATAAATAATGGGCTTAAACGTAAGTTATATATGCCCATATCAAAATAGCACTAAAAGACAACAAAACACAATCAAACAATCAATTTTATGATCAAAGAGAAAATCTTTGCTGGCCATATATAAGTCAAAATTCCTCTTGAAGTTGGAAACAGTATCTGATTTAATAACGCATGTCGGTAAATTGTTCCAAATAGAGATGATGTTTATAGAGGTTTAATGATGATAGAGGTTTAATGATGATAGAGGTTTAATGATGATAGAGGTTTAATGATGATAGAGGTTTAATGATGATAGAGGTTTAATGATGATAGAGGTTTAATGATGATAGAGGTTTAATGATGATAGAGGTTTAATGATGATAGAGGTTTAATGATGATAGAGGTTTAATGATGATAGAGGTTTAATGATGATAGAGGTTTAATGATGATAGAGGTTTAATGATGATAGAGGTTTAATGATGATAGAGGTTTAATGATGATAGAGGTTTAATGATGATAGAGGTTTAATGATGATAGAGGTTTAATGATGATAGAGGTTTAATGATGATGATGAAGATGATGACAATGATGGTATAATTACAAATTCCGACAGTTACAAAGTAGGGTAAAAAGAGTTAGAGGAAACATCAATGGAATGATTTGTTACTCTCCGCTCTTTACAGGCGCTTTTTCTCGCCTCTCTCCACGTTTAGCACTGCCTCATTATAAACAAAAAATTAAAAATTTAATTTGAAATCGCAAACTTTTTAAAAGTAATTATTCGAAAAATATCTAATTTAAAATAAATCCACCATCACACTAACACATTTTTTATACAAAAAAAAAACGTTTAAGTGACCGAGCCTGGCGAACGGACACGTCCACGAGCACTGAGCAAACAATCTCAAAGCAGATAAAAACTAGGAGGTGGTTATTGCGGGAGATAAAAAATATGAACCAACTACTATCCTCTCTCTCACAATATGAAACAGTGTAGCAACGCAACGATATCAGTTGACGCATACAATGTACTATTATTTTTATAAACATTGTGTGACGTAACACCGACGTCACTAGGTTAAATGTTATTTTTTTGCATGTGGTTAATTTGTTTTTTAAAAGCAAAAGATTTGTATCTCAATTTGTATATTCTATTTTACTTTTAAATTATGTTAAACTGCTATAACGTGCAGGTTTTTTGAAAGTTGATTTGCACAAATATCCATTTTTCTGTTTTTATAACATATTCAGATTTTGATATAAATATCAATTAATTTTAGTTTCTTAATTTTTTAACCACTTTATTAACATTTTTTAGAAAACAATAAACTTCCTACAAAAAATCTGACACACACTAACGCACGAAGGGCAGTGAGAACGATCTTTTTTTTTCTTTTCACACAACGTTCAACAAATTCTGCTACTAAAATTTAGCATAATTTTATTGTTGTGGAAAGCTGAAATAGTTTTCAACCCAAATTTTTACAAAGTTATTAACAATGATTTCCATTGTGGAGCTGATTCAGCCCCAAAGCCGCCATTCCCAGCTATATACCTTTGTGTATGGATAAAATAATTAGGAAGAAGGACTGTTGAGAGATGATATATATATATAAATATAATTTTTATAATATATGTCAATTATATATATGATATATGTGCGATTTTTATACATAGAAATATACATAGACATAGACACTCGCATATGTATATATATGTATATATATGTATTGTTTATACACATATAACCAATGTTTATTTATTTATATTTTTATACAAAGTATAAATATTTGTATAGTGTTGAGATTATTTAACTTGTTTGCACTGCAAGCAAAAATGCATCCACCTATCCAAGTGCATTGCAAGTAAGTTAATACACGGAAGATGATTTGTGAAAAATCGAAATAAGGTCCATCTGCATGATGAATTTGGATAACAACAGTTTTATTCAATTTTCACGATAAACATGGAAAATAATTCTGTTTTCAATAAATTGGACAATTTCCAGAAAACTCTAGAAAGTAAAAATTGAAATGACAATCTTTAAATTGATTAATGCCAACAATTCGGTAGAATTCATACAATACAATACAGTATATATATATATATATATATTATATATAAATATATATATATACAATGTATACATATATATATACATATATAATATACCTGTATAATACATATATAAGTTACACATGTTTTAAAGATGATTACATTGAAACTGCCTATACAAACAACATACACACAATAGGGATATAGGTTGAACGTTATCCGTAGAGCGACCGATCATTAAAAAAGTTCTTCGCAATTACGAACTGACTTGCGTAATGCTTAATACAATTATGAAGATAGAATGTTATACTTTTATGTTATATAAATGTTATATAAAATGTTATATGTTGTAATCGTATGGTAAATAGTTGTGCCTGCTATTTTATTGCATGTTGGCTGTATTTAAGTTTTCAAGTTTTAAATAAATTATATTTTGAAAAATCAATAAATCATCTAACATTAATTTGAATTGGTATTTTTTTTTATTAAAAATATTGCTAATTCGGTGTCTCTTTAAAAATTATTTTTCTTTTTTTATAGTATCAATTTTTAATTATTTTTGTTTTTCTGTTTTATTTAAAATAGTTTCCATTGATACGGTTCAGAAATAAATCAAAGTAATTTTTTAAAGCAAATAGCACAACCACAAATTAAATTTGTATTCAATCAAATTAATTTAATGTTATTGAATTAATTTAATTTTTAAATTTGATTAAAAATGTGTTAGCTGTAAAGTAAAGAAACACGTGGTTTGCTTTTAAAATTAAAGAGGTTTTTTGGGATGGTTTAATTTACCAACGTTGTTCAGTTGTAGTTATCATCATCATCATCACTTCCGTCATCATCATCATCATTGATACCTTCGTCGTAATCATCGTCACCAACACTGTTAAATTCAATAAATTTGTTTAATCGAGCTTTCTCCGGCAAGATTCGAAGTTCTTTGAATCTCTTCGAAGTTCTTCCCAAATATGTTCTCATCGCCATTTTCATCATCATCTTCACAATTCCTTCCAACAACAACAGCAGCAGACGCAACAACGTTAACGAGTTCTTCCACCGCATCCCCATTCAACGCCAGCCCATCCAACAACTCCGCATACGACTTCGACGTAGCATCAACAAACCTCCCATACTTTTTCTGCCCAAATTTTCACATCTCCGAAGATGGCGTGGAGACGTCAAGTTCCGGCCCGGTGTTCTTCATCTTGAAAACATGTTTGATAGGACTTCTCATGCTGGCCGTCATCTTCGGGGCGGTCTTCGGCAACACTTTGGTCATCGTCGGCGTGCTGAAGTACGAGAGGCTGAGAATCATTCCAAACTCCTTCATACTCTCCATGGCCATCGCCGACCTCCTGGTGGCCATCCTCGTCATGACTTTCAACGCCTGCCAGGAACTCTGCGGCGGCTGGCTCTTCGGCAAGGTCAGTCAGATAATTTCTTGAAACAATTTATTTTTTTTATACTAAGAATGAAAATTTGACTAATTATAATGATAATAATGTTTGTATTATTAATATTGGTAGTAATAGTAGTAATATAAATATTAATGTTATGACAAAATTATGACGATAACTTGAAAAATGATAACTGTGATAATATTAACGCAAATTCTAATGAGTGATGATGATGATATTGACGACAATTAAAATTATTTTTTTATTAATGTGGTTAACAATTGATAGCATGAAATGAGTGTATGCAGTTGATGCTCGCTCAGACAACCAGTTAATGTAATGATAAAAATAGTAAAATTAATAGATAAATAAAAACGAGTTTGAATTGTGATAATAAAAAAAAGTGAAGTAAATAAATGACCGTCAGCAGCATGTTTTGATGGCTCAGATCAGACAGATTTATGTTCTTTCGATGATTGTGACAAAAGTGGGATTGTTTTTTGAAACGCGTATATTTCGTTGAGACAGCCAACAACTAACAACATCCAACAACAACAGCAACAACAACAACAACAACAACAACAACAATCCAACAACAACTAACAACAATCCAACAACAACAACAACAATCCCACAACAACAACAACATCAACACAACCAACAACGACATCCAACAACAACACATCACAAAACTTTCAATAATGTTACAAACATCTTAAAAAATGACGGAACAATAAAAAGATGCTTATAAGTTTCTGGTATAATATGGGATAGTCAGCGATGAAGAAATGTTAACGAATGAAAAGTGACGGATGATAATTTGTCATGCCATGTTACTTTCTTGTAATTTACTGCATTGGGAGGGTCATTAATTAGAATTCTCCCCAAAAAATTGGATCTATCAACAACATAAAAGACAAACGAAAATTGGCCGTGGATGATGATGAGGACGACGAAGAAGATGAATGATGATGGTGGCGACAAAGAAGAAAATGGCGGTGGTCACAAAATGATGGTGATGATGATTTTGATCGACATTGTAGTAATGGTTATGATGTCATAAAACTGATAGTGATAACGATTGCGATGATGATAATTTTGATGATGATCAGAGTAACGACAATCACAAAAAAGATGAAAAATAAGATGAAAATAACGACTGAGCGAAAGTTGATACATAAAATGAAACATAAAGTTGATACGTAAGATGATACATAGATAACTGCAGAGATAATATAAAATAACGATGATGGTATTAAATAATAAATAAACTGTCGGCGTTTCGACCGGTGGCGACGGTTGCGAATGATCGCGCGATTCAAAAACGTTTAATATTTATTGCGGCAACCGACTATTGTGCATTGCGAGACGCAACTTTGTATAGTAGAGTGGGTAATGAATGTGCCGTCCATCACTGTCTACTGTCTATGTTGCTAGTGTTGCGGGATGTTGCATGGTGACACGATAACATGACGACGACGACGATGATGTTGTCGACTAGATCATAAGGTTATAATAATAATAATAATAATAATAATAACAATAATAATAATAACAACAACACTAGTAATAATAATAACAACAATAATAATAATAAAACAATAACAAAAATAATAATGATACATTTTAATAATAGCGAGAGGATGGTGATGTATAACAGGGTGATAATGATGGACATTCAAACGAATGATGATGAGGTAATTGATCTTGGAATGGTGCAAAAATAATGTCAGTTTTCTACCATCCATTTTAAAATGCACTGTAATGGAATAACAACTGAAAAAAAAATCCTGACGTTAGGAATGGTGATGTCGATGACAACAATATTAAAAAAGTCATCAATAAAAATTGTTTCAGTGTAGAAATAGAAGGGTGAATCTCTCCATGTATCACGGAAAATGGTTACATTCACATTCCTTGGCAAATACGTTAGAATAAGAACAACAGTGGCGCGTATTAATTGCGGCAAATTTTTCAAAATAATCCGATAGTCCTTTAATGAGATTGTCGTTAATTATTACCCTAAAAACATTCCTTTTTCTGTTGATCTTGCAAAAATTTTTAATTAAATTTAAAATATTTTCTAACAAGAATTCAATTTTTCATTTTCAATAGAAGCAGATTAGCATGAAAAATAAATATAATGCCAGGCCTAAGCCCTGAATGGGTTCGCGTTTATTAAAACTGTTAAAGGAACAAAGTGCATCTATTGAACTGTGGGGAAGAGGATTAATCAGGCTTTATTGAAAATTTTCACGGAGGCGCGCGGAAAATTGTTAAATTAAAAAATTGGTCCTTTGAATTTTACGGAGCGTTTAAATATAATTGATTTCCCCTCTGGTTATATTTTTTTAGATGGAAGGGATGAACTTTTTATGAAGAAAACCGGAGACAAATTACGCAAAAAAATGAAAAAAGAAGTTTCGTAGAATAAACTTTTGATTCAATGTATGATATTGCCGATGCAAAATGACGGAGCTGAAAAAAAACAAAGAACGCAGGAAAGAAATAATAAAATTGGTTTGCGAAATCTTTGCTACCATTATAAAAGACCTGCTCAGTGAAGCTAAGATCATTTAAATCTATATTTCAATGTTAGAAAGATTTTGAAGTTGAACATTTTAAAAATTCAATTTAGTTTTTTAACTGACAGATTATAAATTGGTTTATTGAAATATGTTTGAAAATTTTTAGCATGGGATGAAATTTACAACATTTTTGTGTTATTTGAGTTTATTCAATGTCAAATTGAATTCAAATTTGACATTCCACCATTTAAAAATATCCACACAAAGTTTATTTGGATGGTTTCGTGTTATTGAGAATATGTAGGTACCTACATTAGGCTTTTGTATTCGTTTACCTTCATTAATTTCGTTCTAATGCATGCATTGTTTAGGTGTTGTCATTGAAATGCTTATCTAACGTCAAATAAACATTAACCAGGAACAATTTTGTTGAATCTCGTTAAAATGTCGTTGGGCTTTCTTACCAAGGATTATCTTTTTCAATGTTCAAAAACTCACCGTGCTTAAAAAGTTCATCCACTGTTTGACTGCCAGTCTAAATGTGAATTTATTTCAATTGTTAATTGTTTAATTTATGCGTAAAAACTGCCGTAAAGAACAAGAACAAACTAACTGTTTTTAAAAATTCGAAATCATAAAACAAGCGCGAGTGAACATTTTTTTTGTTTTGTTAAAACTTCACCGTTCGAAATATTTTGTACATGAGAATAAAAATGAGTAATCAATATAAAAAATTTAGAGTTATTTTATTTTGGAAGCGATAAAGAAAGACAATGTTGTGATCGTGCCATCCAGGGATATTATCGTTGGAATTTAAACTTTTTAATCTTAAAATTTTAACTGCACTTCTTTCCAATGTCCAAAACAAATACAAACTGCTTCAAAATATATTGACCAACCGACCGACCAACCGACCGACCGACCGACCGACCGACCGACAGACCGACCGACCGACCGACCGACCGACCGACCGACCGACCGACCGACCGATCGACCGACCAGCCAAGCGATCAATTGCACCCACACTCCACTGAATATGACAATAAATTTTCTAATTACATACTCAGAGAAACTTCACTGCAGAGGACTTGTACAACGTCCGTTAACAGCTTCGTTCGTTAGTTTGTAGCAGTACAGGCCGTTGTATTATATGAGGCAATATTGAGACAGGATGTTTGGATATTATGAGTAAGTAACTTACAAGAGAGGCAGTCTGTCTCTGCGTGTGTTTGTTTGTTTGTTTGTATGTGTGTGTGTGTGTGTGAAATAGTTATCTAGTAGTTGCATATATTTTTAATAATAATGCTGATTTACGATATACGTGCGCTTTAATAATTTTTATTTTCAAGCGCCAGTTGTGATCATTCATAATATCTTACAAAATTTGACTCGTCAACACCGTCAACATCAATCAAGTCATCATTCCATGTCATCTTCTACTTATCATCACCATCATCACATTTCAACATCTACACCATTATGTGTTATTGATAGATAACCGTTATCATCTGCGTTCATTTATAACATGCGTAACAACACCCACTCACTGTTGTGTACAATAATAACTGCACCAGTCCAAAACAAAGTAAGTATTCTCATCTGGTAATTGAACTTGTTATGAAAGTTCAGTGCACGTTCACATAAGTACAATCATAGCATGAACCTTTTTTTATTACTTCATATTAAAGACACGCTTACAACAACGGCACACATTTATTCTCGGCATTTAATCGGTTAGTCAGTATTATGAAATCCGTTCTGCAAAAACATTAACATTGCTTTTAAAAGAATGACTTTGATTCTAAACTTAAACTCGGACGAGGCATCCAAAAAATTACTGCAGTGTAATATAACAAGCAGACAGAACTGAACATCATCACCACAACACAGGAACTAACTAACTAACTAACTAACACTTGATCCAAGTCTTATTTTTATGAGATTGATTGCTTCATTGATTCCTCTGAAGAAAAACTAAAATTAAAAAAATCGTTTTACAGTTAGAAAAATAAGCTCGAGTATTTGCACTAAACAACGGTTGAAAATGCAATCAACTATAACAAGAATGAATGTTTTAAATAAAATGTTAAAAAACGCAGCGAAGACAGTTGGAACAAAATAAACTGAACATTTGTACAAACCAACCAATAAAAATAACTACAAATAGTCATCAGTGAAATATAATTTAAAAAAAAAAAAATAACTGCGGAATCATAAAAGGTGAAACGTTAAATGTGATGAACTTATTAAAAGTTGACTCTGTTGAGAAAAAAATGGACGAATTTGAAATCTGATTAGGCAGGAAAATAAGCAGTGGACGAACAAACGAGGAAATTGTTTAATTTAAAACAGCAATTTGACTGTTGCAATTAGAGTTTTTACCTTTTTAACTCTATAATTTTAAAACGCTTTTAAATTTCAACCAATGAATAAATTTACTTTTTCAACAGAAAAAATAATAATTTAAAAAATCTCGAAACACAAAAGAAGTAATGATGA